ATCTTCACTCATTCCAGTCATTGCTCCTTTTTTCTTTAATTATTTTAAGTATAAATTAGTAAGATTTACAGTCTGCTGACTGTATCATTATTTGAGATGTGTACATACTAGCATATTTACAGTGTCAAACTGATGGCGGCTAATACAATTATATGCTTTTTTCACTGATATCTGATCTGCTAATTAACTGGAAAATATTTTGATTGGGGTGACTGCTTACCCAAATTGTTTAATTGTCCCACATAAGGCTGTCAGCCAAAAAATATGGAAATGAGCCTGGGAAGTTCTGTGAGATTTCACACTCACAGCTTTTCAGGTTAGGCTGGATTTAGACAGACAGAGAAAAAGCAAGAGGAAAGTGGATCCTGCAAGAAAAGAAATAAGCTTTTTGAAATAATTTTAATTTCAGTAAAGAATAATGACGACTTCACATAGGTCTTGTCTTTCCCTTTTTCTGCTTGAGTTTCCTACTCCTTTACAAAAGAGGGTGCTCTTATTCCCATACGAAAAGGGAAGAGGGGAGTTGGAGGTAAAGGGAACCAAGAGCATGAGATAGATGAGGTGGAAGCCCTAACTCCCACGTTTGTGTCTGGTTAGCTGGTTTAGACTTCTTTCCTATTTTGGGTAGGCTTTTCATCCTTAATTGGCTGGCAAACGGAACATGTTAGAAAGCTGCAAATAATTTTATCAGCTGAGGATTTCCTTTCACCCTATACAAAATATTTTGGCCAATTTTTATTCAAAATGCATAGATTGCTGCGAGAAGGTTAGCTCGGTTTTTAAGGATTATGTCTAAGAAATGTATATATTTATGTTTAATATAAATAGTGGACTGACTGAATACTCAAAGGTTCTTACTGAAGGATATGGCTGTATTTAATACATACATGCTTACTTTACTGAACAATTGCTATATTTGCATATTATTAGACTTCCTGTCAGCAATGAAACAGTGAACCAGTTTAAGTGATTTTAAGCGAGTTTAAGTGATCTTTAGTTTTTTTCAGTGGTCATTGATATAAATAAGAAGGTTTACGCTGGAAGATCCAGCAAGGTGTACGCTGTATTAAAATTGAGAGCCAGCAAAGCACTTGTACTTAGCTTTGTCTATAAGCACTTTGTTAAATAGGGATAATTTCTTGAATCAAAGGGCCACATCAAAGATGAGAGAAGCTGCACAAACATAATTTTATTCATATGAATAGTTCCATTGAATTCCTTCTTACTGCTACTCACGTGTGTTATAGATCTTTATTAGAAAGTCCTGGATACTTCCTTTCGCATTACAGCTGTGAAAATGCTGAAGAAAATGAAGGCAAACTCCTCAATTAACGAATTTGCATATCATTTCCACATACCTATTTGTTTCATGCAGAGTGACAACCAAGAGCCATGCAATGCCTTTTGGAACCTGGTTATTACCTTTTTAATGGTAGCAGAGATAGGACACTAATAGTAGTTTGCAGAATATGCAACAGGGTCCTTGAATCAGCCATTCCTGAGGAGAGAGAAAAGATGGCAGTAGCTCATACACACATCTAAAAGCAGTAGCTATTAGTTGGTGGGGGGGGAACACACCCCATTCAAACTTTTTTTCTCCTCTGCTCTCCCAAACTTTTCCAAGTAAATGACACTTGAGTTCCCAAATAATTTCTTAAAGCAATACAAATTGTCTACTTAATTGTGATATTTAATTGCATTTTATTAAATAAAAAATGCTTCCATCCATAGTGAAACCAAACAAAGTTTACAATTATTATACGCTTTTTATTTCTGTCTCCTCTTTAAGTACCTTATTTTCTCCAGTCATTTTCAAGATTTCAGGCTAGGATCGCCACAGCCTTTTATATCACATTATTTTCCTACCATGCAGTTGTTTATGTGCATTGTTTACCCAACAGACATTTCTCTTTCACTTGGTATATTCATTACTAAATAATTCTGTGAGAAGATACAGGCCACTGATTTTTTGCAATTTGCATCACCATACTCTAAGCTATGTTGAAAGCTAAGCTCTTTGGTCCTCTTGCTTTGGAAGTGCATTAATATTTCTATGACCTTTACTAGATGGCAGATGAGAGGCATTAGGAATAAAATAACAAACAAACCAAAGGAAAGCAATTTTTTTTAAATGCATATTTCTGACTCTTGACTTGAAAGGAGGATGAGGGAGGAGAATCTACTCTAAAAAAGAGTATAAACTTTAGCTGGAGTTATGATAATTGTTCTACTGTAGCTTATTTTTTCATGTCAAAATGTTTGCTTATGATCAATTTATTCAACATAGGGCAAAATGTATTTGCAGGCTTTGAATAGCTAAATGCATATAAAAATATAGCTATTATTTAGAGATGCTTAGAAATAAACAGAATAGTTTAAGAGATGTTTATTTACTGTGTACATTGAAGTTATCATATTAAAAGCACAGTTACAATGCTAACAATTACTTTATACAAAATGTATTCAAATCAATTCACTTCCAAAGCTTGCTTGTTAAAAAGAGAAATTCTGTGAAACAAACTACAAATGTAGTGACTTTTTTTGTCTGGCATAAATGATCTGCTTTTTAGAAGATTATTTTAGAAAGAAAACCAACTAAATTCTACCCAGGAAACCATTTCTCTCACAGCAGCATTGTTTTTTAGTGGTTTTACTAGACACCGGAAGCCAACTCTATTGCTGTTCATCTAGGTGTCAGTGCCATAACTAAAAGGAACAGATCCAAAAATGATTTTTAATGACTTTACATTTCACTGCTTTATGAAAAAAATGAACACTATGTATAGATTAACAGCACCTATGACTCAGCAAGGTGTTTAACATACGTAAAGCAGAAGTTGCCCCATTAACTACAGTATTTGTTTGCTCTGTTCCAAACGGAGGCAAAACCAAGATTCCTCAATAGCAATTCTCTTGGATATACTTAATACCGTGTGCCAAAGCATCAAGTGGAAGGATATGCTAGGTATTTTTTTTATTTCTTGTAATGATTGTGTGGAAGAGTCAGAAAGTTTTAAAATAACAATACTCAGTTCACCATGCCATGAACCACATGAATCTAGAAAGGATCAGATTAAATCGACTGGTGCTATTTATAGCATCGACGTGTGAAGAGTCCCCTTTAGTCTTCACTAACAGGAGTAATGCCGTTGCAGTCGGTATAAACATGAATAGGCCTTATATTGAATGTGTCACATTATTATTTTTAATTCTTACTTTTGAAAGATCTTCTGTTTCAATACATGAAAATTTTCCCTGCTTGGGGTTTCAAGGAACATAATCTTGTAATTTGATGATCAAAATTTAGATTTTGTTAAAATCATGAGAACTTCTTTAGGAGAAAAACGGTTTGAAAGCATGCTTTTTATGGTTTTAATTAGTTTATTTTAAGTGAAATGAGGAATTCCATGGTTTAGATACGAGCATTTCCCTTCCATTTGCTGTTTAAGCCCAGGAGCTTGTTGTTCTTTACTCAAGCCTCAGAGAAACTGAAAGTAACTAGAAACTGACTTTTAAAAATACCTTTCCTCCCCGCTGTTTATACTTTTATGTCTCCTTGGTTTGATCTAGCAGTAAAGAGAAGTGTAAATCAGCTTTTAAATTTTTTACAATTTCAGTTCATCTAAAAGACTTCTAACACATTAAAGGTGGAGATCCTGATTCTTACCTGATCTGTAAAACCAGAGCAAACTATGCTGAGTTTTCCAGCTGAGGACCTGTCCCATTTCAAATACAACTTCTACCTCTTTAGATTATTATGCTTTAATTATGCCATGTAAAATGTTTTTATACATAAAGCAGAGATGAGCTAAACATCCAATCTGAACTCACTCAAGCGATGGTATCTCTCTCTACAGTCAGTGTTCTCGGCCTACTGCTGGTTTGAAATGTAATCAGTTTTCATCTGCTCGTTTGAATAGAATTTAAGTTTCTGTTCAAGATATAGCCTGTGAGGCTGCCTTGCATTGCGCAACGACAGTTCCTGCATTCTTACCCAAAGTCAGAGCATTCTCTCTGCACTGCAGAGTTGGGGCTCTGAAAGATTGACTTCGAATCCTTCTCAAGCATAGTCTTTGTCACCAGTAACAAACTTGCAGATATTTCTATACGGTACATAATAACTCAGTACGACATAATAGGGCAAATTTGCAAAAGAGATTGTTTTCATCTAAAATACTCACTGACTTATACACACATGCAACTCCAAAACGGGTAAGCAGGAAAGAAAAAGGCAGGCTGCACACTTCCTATACCTGTACATGTGCTTTAATTTTGTATGGGTACTTGCAAGTTCTAACTGAATGCATACTGAGCAAACTGATTAGATGAGAGCAATTTTGGCATCTCTTTAAAAAAATATATTAGTGATTTGTCTATGATGAAAATTCAGACAGCTAAAAGGGATAAGGTTTCTGTGTTAAGTAGACATTTCAAGAACTGGCATCTTTCTGCTCTACTTTAGGGTAAACAATCTGCTGAAGTCCTATCAGGAGAAATGGTATACCTTAGTGTCAGTGCATGTCTTGCTTAGCTGTCACCTTCCATGGCCCAGGGGGGTTATATCCCTTGTGGCTGAGATTCACAAAGCAACAGCAGAGATTTGGATGCTCAGTTCCCGTTATACCTGCTGAGGGTGTTGCCTGTGGCATCTACCAGCAAAGATGTAGGACTTTGCGTTGAGAGATGTTAGTTTTTTTCATGGATTTGCTGTCTCCTTTCTCTGTGGTTTATATTCCCTACATTCCAGTATTTCGAGTAAGTCTTCATTCTACTCTTGAAAAGGCCTTTTACCGTTAGTACATTTTATAATTGTTCACAGAAAGCCCTTAACCGGCTATGGGAAAATTATTTCTTACAAATATGTTGCGTCCATAGTGTCCCTCAGAAGCCTGCTGGGGGGGGAAAAAAAAAAAAGCAAGAGAGGTAACTGCGTAACAATACAGATGATTTGGGTAATACAACTCACCAGAGACCCCAGGACTCAAAATCTAGAGCAAGTTGTCAGGCAGCCTAAATTACAATGAACAACTTGGATTATTTTGGCCCACGGAGCAGACTAGATCTCCCTGAACTGCAGAGTCACATTTGGTTTTGTCTCTTTCAGGGATGCAACTTCCTCATGCTGTCTACACAAACACCAGAAAGTTGAACAGTGCCAAGATTCAGGCTTGAATATTGGCCCTAGGTCCTCCATATTTAACTGTTTTCAGGAGACTAAAAGCATGGGTGCAAACCACGTAACATCAATTAAGCTCCAGACCAGAGAACATAACCTGGCTTTTATTTACTACTACACAGAGAGCTGGCACTGGCAAATTTTAAAATCTCACTCTGTGACACTTAACCATCTTTGCAAGCCACACTTAGGACAGCTGGTGCGAAGTGCTGTTGCTTTGTAATGATTTCTTAGTTAATAATACACTTTTGTATGTGTGTGTGGATGTGTTTGCACACATACATTATATGCGTATATGTCAATTGATAGAATTCCTATAGCATCATTTTCTATCTTAGTTACCATGACGATCCAGTACTGAGAGCAAGTTTCCAGCCTTTGACTTAAGACTCCTCTTGTTTTCAATAAGGTTTTAACTGTCAATGCTAGTAAGTCATCAATATGAGAATAATGTAACAGGGACTACCAAAACAACCCACTTCTGTGTTATTTTATTTTTATTACATATTTAAAATATCCATACATATTCACACATTTCCTTCCTCCTCACTTTCAGACACTGAGGCTATCAGTTAAACAGGTAAAGAGGTCTGATGCCTCTTAAACTTTAACAGTTTGTTGTTCTACCCTGTTGAAAGAATTCTGAGGACTGACTGGAGTAAGCATTTGGGAAAAAGGTCCTTGGTGCTTATATTGAGATGAGTGTCCATGTTTCACTATGTATCTGCAGTTACAAAAAGATAGAAAAAAAGACTTTAAAATTATTATTATTATATTGCTAAACATCCCCCCTTCTTCTCCCTCACTGCATTCTTCATAAACAGTTATGCCCATTAGTCTCAGAGAAATATTAAGAATTTACAATATTCCATAGTATTAGAATTAGCCTCTGTAAAAACAATTGTGGGAAATTCTTTATAAGCGCTTTAAATCTTAGTCTCTAGATACATCTAACTGAAAGACAAGTGTGCTTTAAGACAAATCTCTACAACAGCTTTAAGAAAGGTATGTATGTTCTGCCTCCTTCCTCTTTCCAACCTTTCCTGGACACACATACAGTTGCTTGTTCAGGCACACAAGGCACCATGGTGCCTTGAGTGCAAACTCCGGTGATGCTGGAAGTCTGGCTTTCAAGCCTAGAAAAACACTCTCTGTTGGCACCATGGTGCAAGCAGTGCCTGCTCCAGATGTCCAGTCCCTGTGGTACAGAATATTGGGATGAAGGTTAGAAAGTATGCTGGGGACAGTCTGGGAGGGAGCAAGTTACACTGGAGTTCAGATACGCTCTTCTAATCTTTTATAGGAAGAGGCACTATAAATAATCTTATACCTACAACCTCAGTTAGTGTAGCCCCTCAGCTGCAAAAGCTGTCATCCAAAGCAGAGCTGACACAGAACTGACCCTAGAACTTCGTATTCACTCAGTATACTCGCCAAACGAGAGTAATTTTCTTTTGTCCTAAAGATCCCTCTTGAAGTCTCCCAGGTCTCTGGAAGTTTCCGAAGCAACTTGCTGAAAGCATGCCACCCTTGTCTCTAAAATCAAACTAAATCCCGTATTATATTAACTATTGTGAGACCATGGCATTTTTACACAACTGGTGGTTCAATCAGATTTGTACTTTCTGGGTACCAATGGACAGTTCATCTAAACACAGAACAAAATATAAAACAAAACATAAAACATTCTGTCCTACGTAAAAGCTAAACAGTGCTGCCAGAATTTAATTGCACTAAAGGACTTTGAAATCTAATTTTCTGACTTCACTTTGGGATTACCTAGAAATACAAATACAATAAAAATACATCAATAAAGCTTGACTTATAAAAATACTATTCATAGTCAAAGATGATGAAATCATATGTCTGCTGTTCTATATCCTATACAATCCTGTTGAGTTTAGAATGCTTATTTTAGGTATAAAGGATTTCGCTCCACATACTGTTGAAACTCCATGAGATAGAAATACAGGGCAGAAGTGATTGAATGCTGCCTGGTCTATCTAACGCTGCTGATACTTTTGGCAGGAACAGTTATTAGACCATGTTAGCGGTAGAGTAGAGACTCCATCTGATATCCACAGCTGTCTTCAGGAGACTGGACATATTTTGTAGAGATGTCATATGAAGCAACTTCAAAAATATCCACTACATAGAACCACTTGGTACTTTCTGAGAAATTATTACAATCATGCCTTGGGAATGATCAAAGGGAGAGAAAAAAAAGGGCAACCATTTTAAAAACAGTAAGAATGGAATAACCTCCCATGTGAAAAGCACATGGAGGTGAATTAGAGTAGTCTCACCCCAAATTCCAGGAATAACCTCTCTTCTCCTCACCTCTCCACTACAGTCTAGCTCAACCTGTGACCGCTGAAATCAGCAGGACATTTATCATTGATTGTACAAAGGGGAGGAATCAAGTATTAAGCACCTCTCTTTTATGGGCATTGCTAACTACTATGGAGGGAAACTCCCAGCACCTGTAATATTTTTACATAGTAGTTTCATAAAGGGCAATGACCCTCCATCTTAATTCAGTGAATATGGTCTTGCTTCATAAGTAGTCCCAGTGAAAGTAAAATAAGACTGTTACAATTGGAAAGCCAGTGGTTCCTCTGGGGAACTTATCACTCAGCCCATAAAAAAGGTGGTAAAATCTGGTCTATGCTGTTAGGATGTGATTATACTCTCTACCTGTTGTCTATACACTCTTCTTCAAAAAAGTCAGAGAATTGTGCCATGGTTCTAGAAAGACTCCATTAGCACACAACAACATCCCTATTCTTACTATCCCCTACAAAATTAAGAAAAATCATCCACTACGAACTGCACCCACACTAATGCCTGTAGAAAGTAAAAGGAAGTAACAGATGTGTTTTCCTTTCTTAGATCACACCTTTTGGCTCTTGAAATCTCGTATCTGTCTGAAGACTGCCAGTGATCTCTGCTAAGATGCATTTGGGTTTTTTTGTCTGTAACATTTAGAAGCAAGTTAGTCTTCTCTGAGTTCAGCTTTATTAGCCTACAGAACCTTAAAACCCTCTTGTGAATTTTCATTTCGTGTCACCAGCAAACTGCGACTAGAGGTGAAAGCCTCTTTTCTAAGTATTAGCACAAGAGAAAAAGAGCAGAGGTAAAAGGATGGTGGATAGCAGATATGGAAGTCAGTGCACTTTGCTCAGTGATGAAACATTTTGATAGGGTAAATTATTTAAAAGTCAGGCATTGCCCTAAAGCTTCTCCAGCCTTTTCTGGACACTCTTTGCCAGCAGTGTTGAAAAACAAGTGGGATGTATTGTGAACAGAATCCTAATCAGAAAATATAATGGAAGATAAATATCTCGGGAATACGTGGAAATAGTGTCACCATGTCCTAGATCACTCTGAAAAACAAGAAATCAGAATCTAAAGAAAAGTACAAAAACATAAAGGAGAGAGAAGAAGCAAATAGTTATTAAGCTACTCTCAAGCTACTGTGAGAAAGACTGGCTTAGAGCTATGCCTGTGTCCGAAGTTCTATATGCTAACAAAAGAAAAACAGCTTTTTGGCTGTCCCGAATTGCCCAGCTCCTTTGAAATGAACAGGAGGTAGACACCTAAATACTTTAAAAATGTGGCTCATAGTTTCAGCAAGCCTTGTTTGGAAAAGCAAAAGAGAATAATGATCATTAAAGCAGTTCCTGGGGTAGCCATAAGAATGATGAGGGGGCTATGATTTCCTAGTTATAGGGCCTGCATCAGTGTGGGGGCATGGCATGATTTCCCCTCTCACTGCCTTCTGAGTAAATCTACCCCATTTTAACTATTTGCTTTCTGTATAGCAAATATCCATTTCATGAGGGTCTGCCAACACCTTTTTGGAATACCACACAGTTTTCTTTTGGGAATTTTAAACTTTGACATACATGGGCCTCTTTCAAAACACATATGGATCAATCAAAAACATGATCACTTAAGTCATGATTTTACCACCATGCCTAGAGAAGAGATTTATCAACGTGGAAATAATCTACATTTTATAAATCATAATCTAATAGAGGGTTCCAGAAAAATCAAAAAATCACAAGCTGATTTAGTATGAAGATTACGTGCAGGGATCTAATGTCCAGTGCTCTGTATCTTTTAAGCCACGGAAATGTCATGCTTACTATTTAATGGTTCTTTAACTAAATAAATGCAATTAGGATTTTCCCTGTAATCTTTCTGAACAAGCTGAGAAAGATACCTCATACTTACCCATGCATTTGTGCAATTATTGATGGGGATGTTGACGGAAGATTACAATTTGCTGGGTGGGTTGCTGTCCAATGAACCTTGCCAGTATACCCAGGGATATTTGGAGTGCTAAAGGAAAAAGTTAAAGGGCGGACGGCAAGAAACAGTAAATTAAATGACTGTAGGCTTGAAATATGACTTACAGATAAGTTATAAAATAGTTAGTGTTTCTCTATCCAAGATGGATAGGGAATATACAGCTAAAAAAACATCATAATGTAAGGAATGATCCTTAGAGGGTGTAAACCGGCATAGCTTCTTTATTATCAGTGAAGCAACTTTATGATGGTCTAGCTGGTGATCTGACCCAAAATCTTTGGTTAGACATGGCAAAAGTGAGCTCCTTAAGAGCTTTTCCATTCTTTTTTTTTTTCTCTCCAAATTGTTTGAGTTCTTAGAACATCTGTATTATATTCATGACTGAGAGTGACATTTCATCTCAAAGAGAAAATGAGGTAACAAAAAGCATTCAAGGAAATATTCTTAAAAAATGTGCTTCAGATTTAGTTGATATTTAGGTTCCGGATTCAAATATGGAGTTTAGATAACAGGCTTTAGGCCAATAGGTGCATTTTCTTGTGGCCTAAACACAAGCGGTTTCCCAAATGATTCTAAAATTCTCCAAATTTCACCTAGAATTTTTTAAGAATAAATTTACATGTACATACCATCAACACTGCCTAAATATATTAACTTAAATACTAGCTTGAGTGCACCACTGGACTGAAACAATGTGTGCCTTTTTATATGTGCTCCTTTAACACTTTTGTTAATTCCAAAGCTCAGGTTTAATGTCAAATTCAAGAACAAAGTTCCTCTAAGACACTGAGTAAAAAATTCTACTCATATGAGGTGACACAACTGAAAATTTTACTAGTAGTTGCTGGAAGATGAAGCAGAGAAGGACCAAATTAAAAAAAAGCAGATCAAGAGAAAACATACTAGTATGAATTCAGAGAGAGAATCTATGCATATTAAAAATAAAAGAAACTAAAACCCCAATATGGCAGCTTTTTTCCGGCACAAGGTCACTCAGAGAGCATCATCAGTACTGCTCTGTACTGACAGCTCAAAATAGGACACCACTGAATTATACATATGTTCAGACTGCCCATACACTTGGGGGTAAGTGCTTATGACAAGCTGTTTCATCCATTGAACGAACTAAATAGTTGGGATTGTCAACCTTGCCTGTGTCGCTCTCTCATGGACTTGCAGACTACATGAATGATAACAGTGTCCCCTCAAAAATAACGTCTCTGAGGTATTTTTTTGGTTCCCATATACTTTGGGCAAAAAGAAACAGTCCCTTCAGTTATAAGAAAGCACAGAGAATTTCAGTACAGCTGACGAGCTGTTTCTCCACAACTAAAGTCAGCACAGAATGCAAAAGTGGACACATGTGGGAGGTGTGGTTTTTCGGATAATTCTTTGATCTGTGTACTAGGAAATCTGGCCCTGAAATTCTTCACCAGCCTAACAGAGGTAATGAAAAAATGCTGTACCTACCTGTATTATATGTAATCCACAGTTATAAACACAAAGGGCTGCAGGTTAACTATACTTGCCACAGGAGCACCAGCAGTATATGTTGTCCGTACACCCATAGCTAGCAGGAGGCTCATCTAGCTCTTTGCCTTATTTTGGAGTAACCTTGTACTACCTATATATTTCCTGAATATTCATATATTTATCAATATATACCCATATATTCAAACACTGCTGTATTCCCTTGGTCACACTGTTGCGTGAGACCCTCCAAAACAGATGGCTTTGCAGAATCAGTACAACAGTTCGGTGGCGCTTGGGAAGCTGTTACTCAGTAGCTGGCTGAGCAAGCAACAGATCTGCTTTGTGTCTTAACAGCAGCCATGCAGTGGTTACAAGTAGGCCTGAGGATCTCATACAGCAAAGAAACGTATTTAGTACAGGAACATATTTTCAGAATTGTTCAAAATGGCTTGCAGGCAAAGTTGCCTTTTCATGCAAAAGTAGACAATTGTCAGGTTAGCTACAGACGAGGTAACTCTGTGCAGGGATCCAGCTGAGGCATGCAAACACAAGGACATTGGGTGCATCTGAATACAAGCACATGCATTCAGCTACATCTGAAACTGCATTATCACTTTGAAAGACTCAGACTGTGAATAGAGTTTTACTACCCTGGCGATGTGCTACATACCAAACTACATTGTTCGTATGTAATAGAGAAATTAATTTCCTTGGAATTGTATGAGTGTCACAGAGAAGAGAGGAAGATCACAATAACAACCCATGATAACTGGCAACTTTATAAATTACCCCATGAGAACTTGCAACATTTTATATACATATTTGGCGTTACCTAACATAACCATACAACTGTGGAGATATCCAAACATGCTATGCACTGTGAGGCATCTGATTGATAAAATCTTCCGACCTTTAAAGCCTGCAAAACTATCAACCTGGCACTCCAAGTTACAATTAATTCCTTTTGTTAGCACATTTTTGTTGAAGAGAAAGGAAAAGCATCAGAAATGACCAAACTTGACCCAGAAAAACAAAATCAAGCTTGAGAGATGACCTAAGATGCAGATTTGTTCTAGACTGTCTGTTAAAAAGGATTCACAGAAGTTGGTAACTTCATAACATGCTGAAAGGATGTTGCCCTGAAAGAGAAGAGAGATGTGAAGAGAGAAGCTGAAAGTACCAGGATAGTAAGAAAGCTTACACTACAGTAAAGCAGCTGCTCTCCTGGGAACCTGCAAAGAAGATGCAAAAATGTGCTGCGGTTATGTATGTGATAAAGCAGAAGAAACTGAGGTTAAAAAAATACCCCTTTGGTTTTTTGTTTTTGGATCATGCTGTCTAGCTGTAGTGTGTTTTCTCTGACGAGCTGCTAAACCAGATTGTTGCTGCTGAAGAAAACAAGTAAGTGCCAGGCTACCACTGGGCAACATACAAAACTCTTTTGTGGTTATAGTTGTCGTCATCAAGCTTGCTCTCTGTAACCATGACATCTCTCTTATTCATATACTTCCTTGTTATCATACTAACAGCTCATAATCCCAACAGAAAGAAACATACAAAGCATTAACAGCTGAATCTACACAAGCTCTAAGATTTCAGGTGGAATGTAATGATTCTGAGTGCCTCTGTTCTGGTATGCCTCTGTTCTGTATGTCCATTTTGGCATGTCTTTGCAGATATTTATTTCCTGGCAGTCCTCAGAAAAATCACTGTGGACTTAACTTAGTTGGCCATCCATACGGACATTTAGAAGCACCTGAGATGCTTTAGGGTACCTGAGACATCCACCTACTACATAGGACCCACAAGATAATCATACTGTTCTGAAACAGCAGCTGGGAGCGATACTCTAGGGTCTCTCCAATGGTGTTGGATGCCTGGGTTTGCCACTTAAATTCCATCCCACAGCCTTCATGGGAGCAAATTCAAGATCCTCCAGATCATTTGTATTTCTTGAAAACCTTGGATCTAGCACTTCAGCTTGAACGACTGAAGTATGCAAGTCCTTTATGCAAAAATTCTGTCTAGTGAATGTAATCCTGCAGTCTAATCTTGCACGTACAAGAGCAAAGAGTTCCTAGCTTTTTACTCTTTCTTAGGCACACTGTTGTTTAAATCCCAAAGAACTAAATCATCAGTCATAAAGCCAGCTACTACTTCTTCTTGTTTGTGCCATTATAAAACAGGCCTCTCGGGTCTCACTCACAGTATAGAAGACTCACACAGCTGGCTTCCACCTTGAATTCCCTTCCAGGTAGACCTGTGTCTCACACATTTAAGGCTCTTCTTTACTCCATGATCCCATGTGCCAAGCAGAATAACATGCAGTTCAAATGCCCCAGATATGATTCTGTGTCAGGAAACACAACCCATACAGTCTCTTGTGTTGGGAAAGAATATACTTGAGAGACACTGTGAAGTCAAACCAAGGTACTCTGTGCAGTGTGAAGAATAGGACCGACAGGATTTTTGAACAAAGCATTTTGGGCTGTATTTCATACTCTTCTCTCTCAGGCATCACAGCAGCATAGGGAATAGGTATTCCCATATGGATTTGGAATTTCTGAAAGGTCAAAAATATCAAAATGGTAATTCCCTAGAAATATTTTGGACCAGGTTCAACTGGAACATTTTGTTTCTACTTTTTCAACTGCCTTCCTTCTTTAGGATGTTACTCTTTCAGAAATGAAAAAATCAATTCAAACGATAAAATCTTCATTTGGAAAATGTCAAAGTGGGATATTTCAGCATCCCCAATATGACTCAAACCGGAAAATTACTAAAAATGGATACACGGTGGACAAGCTGTCAGGTTCTGAAGAAAAGATAACATTGTGGGAAAGCTCTTAGGCAGCCCATGTAAATGACTATGCAAGGTGCAAGGCGTAAGAGGGTCCTGTCTCCAGCTAATTGTGGCCTGTGAGGTTTCTGAGGTAACTTGAAGATGATTAAGGGATGCAGGCACACTGTCAGTTGGAGGCTGACTGTACACTGAAGAAATATGATTGAAGTCACTACAGATACATTGGTGTGATAGTAGAATTTTGCCCAATGTGCTTGAGAAACCAAGAGTAAAGGACAATTTCAGAGAAGAGTTTTGTGCAAGAACTGCAGGATTTGAAACACTCAGACTTTTTCTTCCTGGAAATTGTATGTATAAAGTTACTATTTCAATCAACTGCTTGCAGAAATGGATTTTGGTCAGGTCCTGTTCTCTGTCACACACCTTGGACAAGTCACTTCAGCCTCCTCAGTCTTCATCTCTGGAAAACCAATGCCATAATCTACCTTACCGCAGTGTTATGGTAAAGAATTAGTTGAGGCTTCAAAAGTGCTGCTGAGTAAAATAACATTTTAAGTTAGAATGCAGACGTATTTGTGTACCACTGCCCTCTACTGAATATTATGAGAGCTTATGAATTATGAATAGCAGGTCTATGTTAAAAACTGCCAGAGATTTTTATTTAATTCAGAGCCCTGTACTGTGGAACAAGAAAACAAACTCTGTCTTAACTGTTCCTGTTAAATTTCAAGAGGTTGCAATAAGCAAAACAGTG